CGTATGGGTTGCGGATGAACGAGGAGTACCGCCAAACTGAGATGGATCGATTATCTTCAAAACAGCAGGGGCGATGGGCTTTTCAACTAAGAAGTCCTCAGCTAGTTTAGATAAAGCAGGGGTGAGCGAAATTGGTCTTAAATGCTTGCTGATGTTGGAAACCGGTTTTCTCCTTGGGAACTGGTGTTATGTTGGCTTGTTTCCATTCTCAGAGTAGCTTCTGTTCTTTCTACGAGACGTTGAGTAGGTGCGTGATAGGATGTGCGTATTCTTTCAGGATCCTATTGTCAATGCCATGAGGGCCTAGTGCTTTGGACGGGTTGAGGTTTTTTCACTTCTTTAACACAGAGCAGGTCAGTGTCAGCCAAGTTGGTGTTAAGATTTGGGTACTCATGGATTTCATCAAGAAGGGTAGAAATGTTTGATGTATCCAGTGGATTGTAGGCTCTCATTGGTGCGATCAGACTGTTGTTAATTAAATCTGCAAAGTCTTTAGATGACAGATCTTGGGTGTTGTCAATATGAAGTTGATTGAGGAGTTCGTTAGGAGCAGATGTCATACCACTTAAAGGTTTTACTTCAGACCCCAGGTCTTTTGGTTCGTCTGTTTAAGCTTGATAAATTTGGAGGCAAAATACTTCCCTCGGCAGGATTTCTTCGTTCTGTTGACCTTGTTCCGATAGAATTTGAACATAACATTGTTCCCAGAGGAAAAAGCACGTTGGCACAAGGTTATTAAGTGCTTCAGTTCTTCCGATATCCACGGGGGATCATTCCGGTGAATCTTCACTCGTTTCTCTGGCATGAGAATGTTGTAGCTAGTCATGATTACAGAGCACACAGAAACTTGCATTTCTCGTCGCACGACGTTTCCGATTCAATCAGCTGCTAATCGATTTCGGATAGGTACCGACCAAGTTTCATTTTACGCGATGGGCAGGTGTCTCTTTTAATGACTATTTTCATGCTTGGAGTACTAGAAGATGCTCTAGTTTTCGGCCAAACTGCAACAGCATTATGGTCGTATAGGCCAAAGGGTGGTAAAAGTACGACTGGTTTTGAATCATAGAAATTATGCATGTTGATGAGCGCTAGATCCAGAATGTTAGCACTGCGGTTTGGTTGGTGGACAAGTTGTTTTAAGCGGAAATCTCGATAAAGATGTTTTGTGTCCAATTGGTTAAAGTCGCCGGCGATAATAATACCGCAACCAAGAAATAGACCTTCAGCACGCGTGATGGCATCGGACAAGTACTCCAAGATTTCAGTATCGATAGAACTAGGTGGGTGGTAAACACATGCGGTGACGACGCAGTTAGTCCCTACTGGTAATCTTGGGGGTCTGATGTAGGGCAATAGGACTTCGAAGGCGGGATCTTCAAGCTCTTGTAGTCTCCTGGTCTTGGTAGATTCTTTTATATACATGCAAACTCCTCCATGTGTACCTTGGGGAGCGATCACGCCGAAGAAGATTGCAGTTGTTTAGTGTCAAGTGATTGTCTCCAACGGATTCTCGTAACCAGGTCTCCGTAAAGAAGATGTAATCAAAGTTCTTTTGGGATATTAGGATACTAATTTTGTCGATCTTTGGGACCAAAGACACGACGTTTGTCAATAGAACAGGACACTTGGAGCAAACTCGGTCTTGTGAGAAGATGGCGTTGTTAAGGTGTTACTTTGTATAGTTCGTATTGAACGAATTGAATTGTTTGTATTTATTTCGTTGATATGCAAATTA